TTTTTTTTTTTTTTTTTTTTTTTGGGTACTGGGGATTGAACTTGGGACCCTTGCGCTTGTGAAGCAGGTGGCAGAACCACTAAGATAACTCCCCAGCCCATCACTTCTATCATTTTCATGAAAAAAGTCAGCCAAATGGCCACAGCTGTACAACCAGTTAGCCCATAGGTCAGACTTCAGAGGTGATGGTGTCCCTAGAGTGCAGGCTACCAGTCTCAGAAGCACTGTCTTGAAGACAGCTATCATACTTGGGCTGCAGCAGGAGGGCTTTATGCACATTTCCCATGCATCATACCGAGAATCAATGAAACTCATCTGTCTTAATGACACTCAGAGGTAAGGCTCGTTCTTTCCTCTCTTAGGAGCTTTAATTTCTGGTGTAAAAGGCTGTAACAGTATTTGGTTTTTAAAGAGTTCAGCATATACAAACTTAAAATGTTGTTTTGAGACAAGTTCTCCTGCCTGGCCTTGAACTCACTATGTAACCCAGGCCAGCCCTGGCTCACAGTGAGCCTCCTGCGTCAGCCTCCTCAGTGCTAGGATTTACAGGAGTGCTGAAATTACAGGAATATACTACCACTAAAATGCTAAAATGCTGGTTTTAATTTTATTTATTTATTTATTCGGTACATGGGATTGAACTCAGGTCCTTGTGCTTGCGAGGCAGGCAGTGGCAACACTGAGCTAAATCCCCAGCCCTAAAATGCTGCTTTTTAAATATTAAAATATTTCCTTTAAATTAAAATTTTCCTTTATCTTTAAATTCTGAATGACAGGTCTCAAAATGATGTTGCAGCTTCACTGAAACAGTAACACCATAATAATGTCCTTTTCACAGACAGAAAAAAGGCAAAGAATTAATATCTATATAGCCAACGGAAAGATTGCTTTTATCCCATTTTTGTTTCATATTTACAGTTTTTCCCAGTTGCTCTGGTAGTTTTTTTCCACTCCATGCATCACAGAACTCTTCAGTATGTCAGTTTCCTCTTGTTCTGAGTTGCTAGAGATGAAAGCCAGGGCCTTATACTAGTTAGGTAGGCACCCTTATACTAAGCTACACCCCTAGCTCTTCCTTTTCTTTTTTTGTTAGCAATTGATTATCAATCTATTAAAATAGTTGACTCAGACATCTGCAATGATCCCTCAACCCCAGCTACTAGATCAGCACTGACAGCAGAAACCTGTACAATATCCTCAGAAGGGCTGTGCCAGCCAGTGTGGTATTTATGGATTCACATTAGGAAAGGACCCTAAGGGGCACTCTCAGTTTTGCGTCAGCATCTGAACAGTGCCTTCTTTTGTACCTCTCCATTCAGCACAAATCCTCTCCAGGGCTTCCTGTTGCAGCTGGCAAAGATAAGTCTAACCCAGTGAACTACAATCTCTGGTTGTATCTCTTGCCAGTATCTTGAAGTCATGGCCATGGTTCAGCTTTCTGACTGATTTGTTCCTTAGAAAGACAGGACAGCAGTGAGCCAGAAGACAACAAGGCACAGGTCTACAGCACCCGCTATCACACCTTCTTCAGAAACGTTGGGTTCTGCTGAGCATCCTGGGACTTAAATGGTGCTTCTGTGCTTGAGAAAGCAAGTCTTTTCCTTTGTTTAAGTCAATGACTCATATTTACATATGAAAAATGCATTAAAGATGTTTTTATTTTAGAAAAAATATTAATATTTAAAGTAACATTTTGAGATTAAAATTTATAAAAATCCTTGATTTTAAAAAAAATATTTTTTTGAGACAGGGTCTCACTCATGAAGCCCAGGGTGGCCTTGAACTTCTGGTGACCTTCCTGCCTCAGCCTCTCAAGTGCTGGGATAACAGATATGTGCCTCTACATATGGCATATAAAGTTTTCAATACTGTTGCAAAACAAGTCAGAAAAATTTACTTCTTGTATTTCTACATGGAGACAAGGAAAATCTCAGGATTTCAAAATGATGATTCATTGCATGACATAAAATTACAAAGACTATAGCAGGCATAATTTAAGATCATTAGTCAAGAATTCGGTACATTACTGAGAGCTTACTAATGTCCAAAAATATACATATGTGGGCCAGGGATTTAGCTCAGTGGTGCTGCCACCTGTCTTGCAAGCGCAAGGACCTGAGTTCGATCCCCAGTACCAAAACAAAGAAAAAAAAATGTACATATGTAAACTATAAATCTACTACTTCAGAAAATTCTAAGTCAGGCATAATGGCACACACCTGTAACTGCAACACTTGGAAGACTGAGGCAGAAGGATCGCTGTGAGTTCAAGGCCAGCCTGAACTACATAACAAGACCCCGTCTTAAAAAAAAAAAAAGAAAATAAAAATTCTAGAAAAGACAAAAACACACACTATTAACCATCAAAATAAAATCTACCTACCATAGCCATTGAAAAACTTCACTGTATACTGTCAGAGAATAAGAGTGAACAAGTAAATTTCCTCTGAAAATTATTATACATTCACAGTTTTTGTCTCACCTTGGGAACTCTGTGGCCATACCCTGAGAACCACTGTTTATGAGAGGAGGTAGGGGAGGGAGGGAAAGGAGGCATAAAAAAATTTAGATGCGTTATGTACATACATCAACTACCCATAAATGTAACCATTATATGCTGTAAACATGTACTAGTGAAAACAGAGAAAGAGAAAAAGAGAGAGAGACACCATTTAAAGGACAAAATGTAATGAGTATGGTGTCACAAGCTTAAAATACCTGCTACATGGGAGGCTAAGGCAGGAGGATCACAAGTTTCAGGCCAGCCTGGGTAACTGAGACCCTATCTCAAAATAAAATTTAAAAAGGGCTGGGGATGTACCTTAGCTCTCCCTAGGTTTAGTCACCAATATCACAAAAGCAAAACAAACAAGCAAAAAAAAAAAAAAAAATCCTTTTTTTCCTATCCCTAATAAATTATTTTAGGAAACAGAGTTAAAAGACAAATTTAACTCCCTATAATTGTAGAGTATTTCTGAGGACTGACATTATACTCAAGTCTTTCTAGAGACAATAATTTCTAATGGAATGACATTCGAATCTTAGCCACATGTGGCTTTTCCCTCTGGACTGTGCTGGGAAAGCCACTGAGAGCTCAGCTCCTCTCTCTCTCACTCTTCCTCAGAAACCCCTTGAGCCGTGTGTCCTTTCTCCTGCCTCACTGAGCCCTCAATTCCTTCCTCCCCACCTTCTCTTTTCATCCCATCCTATTCCATGTCTTCCTGAGAGATCCCCACTTCCCTGGACCCCATTCTGCCCATAAAAAGCTAAAAGCATAAAAGCTCTTAAAGAAAATGTAGGTAAAAATATTGAGGCCATTTTTAACAAGTCTAAGATGGAAAACAAATAAAAACAGGTTCAGTTTTGTAAGAACATGCAACTTCCACCCAAAACACACCATCAACAGACTGAAGAATAAACTGCAAGGAAATTTTGACAAAATACACAACTTAGAATATCTTTCATACATGTGGCTCTTAGAAATTGACTTCTAAAAGATGCAAAAGTATACAAAGTACCTCAAAAAAGTAAACATAAAATGGCCAATGAACATGGAAACTGTCTGTCTCAATACAAATAGAAGTCAAAAACCTCAGAAATCCTCTGAACAGCTCAGTGAAGAGCCACAGATATTTCAGTTACAAAGAATCCACATCTGGCAGAGGAGGTGGTTGTCTGCAACCTTGCCCACTGGAACTAGGATACCTGAGAGCCCACTCATGCCCAGGCCCCACAGCGTCCTAAACACCACACTTGAACCACCCCTTGGAGTATCCTCTTTATAAGAACATTTGAATCCCAGCACTTGGGAGACTGAAACAGGAGGACTCCAATGAGTTTGAGGCTAGCCTCATCTATACAATGAGTTCAAGGCCAGCACGAACTACATTGTGAGACCCTGTCTCAAAAAAAAAAAAGCAAGTGCTCAAGGTGCTAGAGAGGCAGCTCAAGTCCAAAATCTCAGCAGCCCTGCTGGATATCTGCTACTCAGGCTCACCACATTTATATACAGAAGACTATTTATGCCTATAATCTTACCAAGGGTTTCCACCAGCCTGCTTCTCCAATAACAACCTCTTCTCATCTTCAGAAAATTGTAAGTCCAGTTCAAAAGAGTTAGTGTCCAAATCATGGATGTACTGCTCTATGTTGCTGCCCGACCTATGGGGCAGGCTGGCATCCACCACAGACAGGGAATGGGAGGAGGAAGATGATGACACTTGCATGCAGCCAAACTGGCTCAGGAGATTATCATACTGTAGGGAAGAAGGAAAAAAAAAAAGAGAAAGGTGCCTTAATTTGCCTCTAGAGTCAAAAACCCACACAGCATCTATCCCTGAGGTCCTCCCACCTCAAACACACCACCAAGGCCCGTCTGTCCCTTCTGGTAAGTGTAGAGAGATCTTATTCTCCTCCACCACCATCTGGCTGCTAAGCCAAGGTAGTAGTGATTTTAGTGTAGCTCTGGAAGATTTTCAGGTACAAGCTAAAGTCCATCAGTCAACTGAAGTGGAACTCCATGCACGGGAACTGGCTAGAAAACATTTCAATGACAGTCAAACCAGAAAAAAGTGTATCATTGACAAGGAACTTCTAAAATAACTTTTATGTAGAGTGGAGTCACAACGGAGAATGGTAAAAGAGCCTAGATAGGCAAGGCATGGTGGTACATGCCTATAATCCCAGCACTTGGGAGGCTGAGGCAGGAGGACTACCATGATTTCAAGGCCACCCTGGACTACATAGTAAGCTCAAGGCCAGCCTGAACTACACAGTGAGACCCTGATTCAAAAAAAAAAGAACAGCCTGAATGTATGAGACTGAAGACTAGAGTGGTGGTGGGTACGCTGTAGCTCCTTATACCTTTCTGTCCCTTTTGTACATACTTTCCATTTTCCAAAATAAAAGCTATTTAATAACAGCTGGTTGTGGTGACACTTGCCTATAATCCCAGCATTTGGGAGGCTGAGGCAGGACTATCACCCCAAGTTTGAGGCCAGCCAGACTACATAGTGAGTTCAAGTCCAACCAGAACTACACAGCGAGACCCTGTCTCAAAAACAACAACAACAACAAAGTTTTAATAACAAAATAATAGTATAAACTGGTGTCTGGGCTGGGAATTTAGCTCAGTGGTTCCGCTGCCTGCCTTGCAATACCAAGGACCGGAGTTCGATCTCCAGTACCAAAAATAATAATAATAATAATAATAATTTTAAAAAAAACAAAAACTGGTATCTGGAGACAAGCAGCCTCAAAGTCAGTATCAGCAGACTCTGGGGCCACACCTTTCAGACTAGGTATCTCTTGGAGATAAGCAGCATTCATAACTTACATACAACTTAAAAAGCATGGAGCCAAAAGCTGCCACTAACAATGAGCCCTGGTGCCAGGAGCCCAGAGGTGAGTGCAGGCAGGGTGCTGTGCCCCCACTCAGCATAAACCACCAGCTCCACCCCTCTGGGCGCAACTCATCAGACCACTCACACCTGAGGAAATGAGAAGGACCTAGCCCACCCAGGGCCTGTTGGCCATAGCCATACAGCAGCAAAGAGTTTAACCACCAATAGTGCTATAATGCTGGCTCCCATTAATCACATAAATCCACGTCCCATGGCACGAGGGCATGGACCTCTTGTGTGCAGAGGAGTTGTGCTTATGCATCAGGGCAAGCAAACCTCTCCATCCAGACTCTCCCATGGTTGCTGGCTTACATTGCCATAGCAGTCCTCGTCGTCCTCTGACATGGCTGGCAAGTAAGCTGTGAGCTTCGGGGGTGTCTGCTGGTGCAGATTCTCCCACGTGATGGATTCAAAGAATGGATGAGCCTTGAGAGGTTCGTATCCTTCCATCTCTTCACAGCCTAACCGCTTTGTGGCATCCAAAACCTTAAGTGATAATCAAAACAAGTTACTGTCAGAGTTAAAATGTAATCCTGACAAAAAGGATGTTTTTGAGCAAAATTCTTTTCCTCGATGCTTAGTACCTGCTGGAGGCCCACCCCACGCCTGCTTTTCCTGCTACGGGGCAGCCCAGGGTACTCTGGGTTTTTGCCTCATCCTGAGGCCCTACCCCCTGCCTCCTGCAGATGAACATAAATCTGATATCACCTTCTTCAAAATATAGCAGGCAGCAATAATCCTTTTAAAATATGTAGTTATATGGTGAATTCAAGGCCAGCCTGTGCTACATAGTGAAAGCGTCTCACCAGGGTTTCAACAAAACAAAAAATAAATAAAATATGGACTTAAAAATCCTAAAACAAGCTAGGCACAGTAGCACATGCCTGTAATACCAGTTACTTAGAAGGCTGAGGCAAGAGGATCATGAGTTCCAAGCCAGCTTGGGCAACTTGGCAAGACTCTATATCAAAAGAATTAAAAAGGGCTGGGGATAAAGCTTGGTGATAAAGTACCTGCCTAGAGTGCACAAGGCCCTGAGTTCAATTACTGGTATTACACAAAAAGAAAGGAGGGTGGAATGGTAGGAGAGTCCTAAAACTAGAGGCGGGGGACTGGCTCTAAGAGCAGAGAACAAAAATCCTAGACAATAAGATCTTACAGACACCCCATGTCTTTCTAAGGGCAGCAACAACATTTCTTCCTGGAGATAGAAAAAAAGCAGGACAGGAAGGCCTGTGTCCAACAGGCACACAAGGAAGCAAGCTCAACTCCCACTAAGGGAAGCTAAGGAACAGTCAGAAATGGGTGGGAAGAAGGTGATCCTGGAGCTTGAAATGAATCTGCTCCCAAAAACTGAGTTAAGGAGGGCAACCAGAGTCCAAAGCAATCAGGGCCAGGATACTTCAATTTCTGGAATATAAACTGATATAACTTTTCCAGGTCAATCTGCTTTTGCTTCATTACCTGTGTCGATCTTTAAAATCTTCATATAGCATACTATCAAGCTGATATCAACAGACATCACCGAAGTATTATTTAAGCCATCTGCCACTGTAACAAACCCAGTTACTCCAGCAGCAGTAAGTGAAAGGGTTTTGCATTGTTGATGAGCACATACAAAATGTTACAGTAATGTCCTCTCTTTATTAAAGTCAAGAACCAGGCACGTGAAAAGTAAAAGGAATTATAACGAGATGAGATGCTAGACATGACTCTATCTACAATCTCTGTCAACCCTGAACATACCTGTCCTTCAACACAGCAGCCTCCAGGAAGCTCTTTCAGGCACAGAGTTAGAGAATGCAGTGTGTGACTTGGGTCCCCTCACCAGGAAAACTTAATATGCTTACCAAGAGTTTTTCCACAAGGTCTCTTGCCTTAGGGAAGAATTTTTCTGGGAAGTCATATTCCAACTTAATGATCTTCTGAAATATAAGATACTCATTTCTATGAATTAAAAAAAAAAAAAAAAGTCCTTCAGAGGAGATCCTTCAAACGTCCAGCACCAGGTGCAAACAACCTTCCTGGGACAACCCAGCACTGCCCTTGCTATCCACAAGCCACCACACCCCGTGCACTTGAGAGCCACAGGGAAAATTCCTCCTTCGCCCACCAGTCCCAGGAACTGCTTTCCCACTCTGTCAGAAGGAGGTGTGCTGTGATAGGGTCAATCCCTTCTTACCCGGCTCGGAATGGTGGGAGTCCTGCCACAAGCTGGTATATTATACATCCAAGAGCCCAAAGGTCTGAACTTTAAGGTAGGGAAAAAAAAAACAAAGAAAAATGGCATTGGTACAATTCAAGTGACAAACACAATTCATTTCCTACTCTCCCCCCAACTTTCCCCCTCCCCATGTCAGCCTCCAAAGTATTCCTGTTCCTTAGAACCCAGACAGGTGTGAGGTTTGAACCTTCCTTTCTGGGGAACTTTCACTGATATCTGCGCTCAGAGACTCCTGCACTTGATAGGCACCACCAGTCAGCCTTTAGATGGGCCTCTTGCAGTAGGGGTTAACAAAGCACAGTCCCAACCTAAAGAGAAAGCAGAGTTCACTGCCCACCAAGGAGCAGCACTGGAGAGCTGGCCTCATCACCACAGGGTGGTACAATTGAAACTACCCCAGATCCTTTCCTGACCAGCTTGTGCTCACCCCAGGACAGGTGTGTACACACACGCGCCTCAGGTCAAAGGACCATCAACCATCCATAAAATGTGCACAAAGCGGCTCTGTCCTTCCCCTCTTGCACTCAGCTATGAAACGTACTGCACATTCTTTATAAATATTTGGCTTATCCATTTTAAAAAGAAATCAATCCGGTTCTAAATGTCTCTAAGTCATTTCCAGGATGTAGCTAGATGTTCCAAGTCCCCAGCTGTCAGGGACCCTGAGGTTGCCACCCTCTCACCTGCAGGCAAGACACTCTCCCACACATCCAGCACTCCCAGTCACCCTCAGCATGCTGGGATGACTTTACAGGCATTATCCCCTCTGAGTCCTGCTTTTCATTCCCTAAGCACTTAGCTCACAGTATCCTGACAGTGACCTGGCACTCTGGATGATGCCATCACAGAGTGTGGGTGAAAACCACTGCTCAAGATGAGAGACTAGCTGCAGTGCCAGGGCTTAGGGAAAAGTTTTGTCCTGGCCCTGGCATCTGCAACATCCACAAGCTAGTGCACAGGTGAAGTACTTGGGGTGGGTTTAAAAGTACAACAGATTAGAAACTTGAGTCACAACAGAATGAAGGATATATGAACAAATGGTTTTACATTCAACTCAGTTACTAGTTTTGTTTTTTGTTTTTTGAGACAAGGTCTCACTATGTAGTTGAGACTGTCCTAGAACTCACTATGTAGCCCAGGCTAGACTCGACTCACAGCAATCCTCCTGCCTCAGCCTCCCAAGTGCTGGGACTACAGGCATGTGCTGCCATGCCTGGCTCAACTCAGTAACTAGTTTTTACACTTGGTTTTATTTAGTGTTTAATATTTATTTAGTGTTAGTTAAAACAAGGAGCACAGCAGAAAAAACAGGCTGCAAGCACCCCCCCACCCTAGCCCATGCAGAAGCAGCAGAGAGGGGTAGGGCACAGTGGAGCTGCACCTCCCTTTTCACAGAGTCACCTCCATAATGTAAGAGTACAAATGCTCTGGGAAACAGGCATGGTGATACACACTGGTAATCCCAGCACTTGGGAGGCTGAGTCAGGAGCATTACAAGTTTGAGGCCAGCATGGACTACATAGTGAGTTCAAGACCAGCCTTAGTTATATAACAAGACTACAAGACGAGCGAATGAATGAACGAACGAACGAACAAAAGAAAGAAAGAAAGAAAAGGAAGGAAGGAAGGAAAGAAAGATGGATGGACAAGAGAAGAGAAGGAAAGAGAAAAAAAGGAGGAGGAGGAAAGGAAGGAAGGAAAGAAGGGAGGGAGGGCTCTGAGTTAGCTTCTACCACTATAAAGTATCTCAGAATTTCATCATAAATGTGAATTTAGAATTTTAAATGCTTTGTTAAATCAAAATCATAAACAGGGAAGCCCTATAATGATTCTAGAAAGTAGAATATACCAAGGATTTTATAAATAATCAGTTAGACCAAGTCATGCCACTTCCTGAGACTCACATGGAGAAATTCAGGAAAAATCCCATCTCTCCCACCTGTAGGACGATGGTGTACCCCCAAGGCAAAGCACCTGTGCCCTCTTCCTCCCCACACAAGTGTGGCCCGCACACAGGAGGCACACCAGCACCATCTCAAACTAATGAGACAGCAAAATCACACAAACAGTAAAGATGTCTACAGATAATTTTAATGACAAAGAAAATTGTTTATCACAGAATCATAAAGAGAAGGATGCATATTGGCTAACACCCCACTTATATGAAAACTATATAAAAATACAGAAAATGCACAGAGCAACTGAAAAGGTTTATTTTCTAAGAATTCTTTACAATGAATAGGCATTCCTTTTAAAATCAGAAAGAAAAAAATGAAACAGACGTTTTGGTACATGTGTATAATAGCATTCCAGGAGGCTGAGAGAGGTAGATTGCACCTCTGAGACCAGCCTGAGTAACACCTTAACAACTGAGCAAGACCCTGCCTCAAAACAAAAAATAAGCTGGGAGTTTAGCTCAGCAGTGCTGCCACCTGCCTTGCAAGATCCTGAGTTTGATCCCTAGTACTAAAAAATAAATAAATAAAAATAAAAGGAGGGCTGGGGATGTAGTTCAATGTGAAGATCTTGAGTGGGTTCAATCCCCACATCACTAACCCTCCCTCCCAAAAATCAGAAAAAATGTAATTATTTAATGAATCACAAGATTAAGTTTTAAAAGCAAAAACAATGCAGCAATGTGTCCCTCCCAATCCACCTTCCAGCCCCTAGAAACAAACACTTTCGTCTGTTTCTTGCATATCCTCCTACAGAACATGAACCACCCATAAAGAACATCCATGTATGTCTCTCCTGCACACAGAGACTAGCTTATGTGCCCGATCCCTTATAGCCTGGAGATCTCTGTAAGTACAGATGAGCTTAGCACCCAGGAAGGAACCAACAGCTGACTCTTGGATTAAGTCCTGTATTTGGAAAACCAGGGGACTCTACCCACCACCTCACACTGTAGACAATGACAGATGCATCCTCCTCTGTCCCCCAGGATGCTGAGCAGCAACCCTGGCCTCCAGCCACTGTGGGTCAATAGCAACTCCACGCCAAATGTGACAACCAAAATGTCTCCAGACATGACTAAGTGTCCTCAGAGGCAGAACTGCTTCTGCTGGGCAACTGTGACATGGAGCAGTTCTAATCCACGGGAAGAAGTCAAACTAATGACCAAATAAGGTTGGGGGGAGCTGATAACCACTGAGATGCCCAAGTTTAATTTTTCAGAGCATTCTTCCATCCTGCTATCAAGCTTGTGCCCATGGTTCTACCTCTACCTAGAGTTTTTAAAGCTGTCAACCTCAGAAACAAAGAGCTGCTTAGCCAGGCACGATGGCACACACATATAATCCCAGCATTCAGGAGGCCAGGGAAGGAGGATTGGCACAAGTTTGAGACCAGCATGGACTATACAGTAAGACCTTGTTTCCCCCAAAAAAGAAAGCTGCCTAACTAGAACCACTCACTCACTCAGGGCAGCCAAGCAGGACAGAGGGATGGTCCACTTAAGGCGGTGCCACAAGGCCAAGTGGTGGGGCCAAACCAAGCACTTAGCAGAGATTCACAGCACAGGATTGGAAGAAACATCCACTACAGAGACCCTGTTGCCTGGAAATGCTCCCCAAACCTAGAACACAGATTCTAATGCCACCTGCAAGTCTCCTAAGACAGCATCTTCGACTTCCTGCTGTGGGCCATCAGCTCCCTGACCCTATCTTCTGCTGCCCAGCTGATCTGTGGACTGATCTTTTTTCACTCTGCAACCTATTAACTTGCACACAGAACACACCCTGGACCAGTGCCAGCCCCTATGTCCCTCACATAACACTGTTCATCTAATATTCAGGACTGAGTCTACCACCAAGGCCCAGTTGCATTTCTCCAATATCCTTGGTGCTGTTAGCACTGGAGGTGCTATCTCAGGACTGGCTGCCTCTGAAGGAATCCTCTGTTCGCTCATCCCTTTCAGGCCTCTGCCCAGCCCTGAAGAGCCTGTGGCAGTGGACGGTTAGCCCTGAAGCACAGCAGTCATACTTCCCCCACTGAATAGATTTCCTTAAGAAAAACAGTCAAATCTCTAACCAAAAAACAACAGTCAACTCAGAAGTATAAAATATTATAATAAAATAGCACATGTGGATGGTAAAGAAAAGACATAGCTGAAAAAAAAAAAAGAAAAAAATGGACACTATTACACGTATCTATAATCCTAACATGGATGGCAAAGAAAAGACATAGCTGCAAAAGAAAAGAAAAAGAAAAAAGTGGCCACTATGGCACACATCTGTAATTCTAACTGCTCCAGAGACTGAGTGGGTGGGGGGCACTTCCACAAACTTGAGGCCAGCCTGAGCAATTCAATGAGACACAGTCTCAAAAAATAAAAACAGCTGCGGGTGGGGAGGTTCAGTGGTACAGGGCCCTGGGATTCAATACCCAATACCACACACACAAAAAAGCAAACTGTTAACTTCTTTCACAGTATGTTTGGATATTTATAATTCCAGTTTGACAAAGAGGTCAAAAACATATATTGGACTGGGGACTTAGCTCAGTGGTGCTGCCACCTGCCTTGCAAGCACAAGGTCTGAGTTCAATTATCAGTACCAAAAAGAAAAAAAAAAAAAAATACACACACACACACAGAGGAAAGAAGATAGCTTAAGAAACAATGGTCGGAAAACTGGCTACCCACATGCAGAAGATTGACTCTAGAATGGTATCTCTCAACATGTACTAAACTAAAAAAAAAATGGATCAAAAATGAAAATATTAAAACAGCAACACTTAATCTGTGGGAAGATAAAACAGGTAAGACTCTTGAAGACAAAGGCACAGACAAGGACGTTCTGAACAGAACCCCACATGCACAAGAAATAGCACCAAGAATCAACAAACGGTATCATATCAAATCAGAAAGTTTCTGCACAGCAAAGGAGACAGCCTACAGAAAGAGAAAAAAAATTTTTTTTTGCCAGCTATTCCGCAGACAGAACCCTAATATCTCAAATACATCAAGAACTCAAAAAAAGAATTAAATAAAATTAGATCCCTCCCCAAACAAAATAAAGATTCAGTCAAGCAACAGGCAACTGAAATGAACACACACTTCTCAGAAGAAGTACAAATGGTCAATAGATACATGAAAAAATGTTCAACATCTCTGGCCATTAGAGAAATGCAAATTAAAACAACACTGAGATTCCACCTTATTCCTGAAAGAATGGCTATCATCAAGAAATCAGGTAATAACAGAGGCTGGTAAGGCTGCAGAGAAAAGGGATCCCTTCTGCATTGTTGATGGAAATCAGTACGGAGATCCTTCAGAAAACTAGACGTACAAATTCCATTTAACCCAGCTATTCCCCTTCTAGTTATCTTCCCCAGAGAGTTAAAGACATTATATTACAGCGATTTTATGCATAGCATGTTTACAGCACCGCGACTCATAATAGCTAAATCTTGGAAGCAACTCATAATAGCTAAATCTATGTCCATCAGCAGATGAATGGATAAAGAAAATGTGGCATTATATACAGTGGAGTAGAGTTCACTGCCATATAGAAGGATAAACTTGAGTCACACACTGTAGGAAAATGGATGCAGCTTGAGACCATAATATTAAGTGAAACAAATCAGACACAAGCTGAAGCGTCACATGATTTCTCTTATATGAGAAACACTAAGCATAAATAAGGGCAAAACAAAAGATAGATAATACAAAATAGCGAGATAGATCTTTTGCAAAAGGGAAGGGGATTAAGAGATGGAGGGGGTGGAGAGAGGAGAGGAGGATAAAAAACAGATGTGTTACGTACATGTACCAACTCCACACTAGGAATGTAATCATTACATACTATAAACATGTACCAATAAAAATAAAAATTAAATGTAAATAAAATATATTTGTATAAAGGTCACCAAAGGTTCTCTTCCAAATATTTGTCCCTCATGAAGAAATCTAGCAGCTACTTCAGAGAGGAAAAGCATGGTTGGATAAAAGCAGGTTACCTCTTACAGGTACCAACTCCACACTAGGAATGTAATCATTACATACTATAAACATGTACCAATAAAAATAAAAATTAAATGTAAATAAAATATATTTGTATAAAGGTCACCAAAGGTTCTCTTCCAAATATTTGTCCCTCATGAAGAAATCTAGCAGCTACTTCAGAGAGGAAAAGCATGGTTGGATAAAAGCAGGTTACCTCTTACAGGCTGACTTCTCTGTGAGCAGCTCTGGAGAAACATACTGTGCTGTTCCTACAAATGAGTTGGCCCTGGCTGAGGAGAGGAAAAAAAGAAAAGGTCAAACTTAGAGACACAATCTTTTGCCCTCCATCACAGCTGCTCCACTGGTGCACTTCTCAGGCAACAAGGTCTAACATGGCTGACAGGAGCACTTTACTTTTGTATATTTTAAGTGGCTACAGGACAATAAGAGTAGCCCTGTGCTAAACTATCAGGTTCTGAAAAATCTACATGAGGGAAGAAACATCCAGAGTATAGCACAGTAAGTGACACTGGAGGCTAACAAAGGTCACAGCTGAGTCCCATGGGACACTGCGTGCTTATATCAAGTAGGATAATTTAGCAAGCCAACCTAGAACCTGTGATCCTCCTACCTCAATTTCCTGAGTGTTGGAATTATAGGCATGGTGCACTGGCTCTCAAAGTTTCTTTTCCAGGTCACTTATTAACTCACAAGACAGTTCCCTTTCTCCCATACAGCACTGTAAGGGCATAATGATCTCTCTATACATGCATTAGAACAGTTTTTAGGAGTTCAGCTATCCTCTATACCTCCAGAGTGTATAGTTTCCATCCAGTGAGCACTAAAAGGGCAGCAGGTCATCCATCTCCTGGTTATTAAAACAGCCCAGACCCCTTTCCTGGCCCAAGTGGATTCTCAGCTACTCTAGTCCTCCAGAGTACTAGAATCACATGAATCACAATGCAATTCAAAGCTAGATGCTTCCCCAGGGGACAGGGCTCAAGAGTCAACAATTACAAACAGGCATGTGACCTGCACCTAAGTCAGCCCCCACTCCTCCTGTGATATTTCTAGAACCTCCCTGAAACTGGGGTGCATGGGCTACAGGCAGTTGTGTATATCACATAGGGACACAGAGGACTAGATGGGTGGAAGGCATAGGGGTCCAGGGACATATTTCCCCAGATACACCCACAGTATCCACAGGAGGAGCCAACTGAGTGCCTGGTGCACAAAGGGCTATGATTACATTGTGCCAAGCACTGGGAAGAGAATGAGACACAGCATGCTCAGGAGGACTGAAGTTCCCATCAACTCCCAGACCACACACTACCTTGAGCCCAGCAGGACTTGGGCAAAGGCACCACCCACCCTGAATTAATGATAAAGCCCATATAATGCAACATATTCCACAGAGCTGCACAGTTGATCTTAACCAGAAGCACAGGACCAGCTCTGATGGAATTCAAACTTACACACCTTGTTTGCTCTCTGGGGATAACACTTTTGCTGTTCCAAAATCTGTGATTTGGATGTGCATGTCTTCATTTAACAAAATGTTTTCTGGTTTAAGGTCTCTGTAAAGCAGATTTTTACATCTGAAATAAAACACTTAAACAGCAGCATTATTGCATACTCTATACGCTGATGAAAACACAACGAGATGGGCCAGGGATGTAGCTCAGTGGTGCCACCACCTGCCTTGCAAGTGCAAGTACCCGAGTTCGATCCCCAGTACCAAAAAAAAACCCCACAATGAAGTAATGAATACTTACCATCTTTACAGATTAACAGTCAAGAATACAAGTCCAAACTCCATACCAAACAAATATCAACTGCTTATAGTAAGAACATTCAAATGATATTTTATAATTGTATCATCATTTAAATAAATTTTATTGACATACAATCTATGCTAACTCATAAAATAAAAAACTTATGAACATTTCCAATCTAACTTTATCAGAAAGTCATGGAAAATAAGACTAGAAATAAGTAATCACAAAACCACTGCTGCCTACGTAAAAGCACAAGATGAGATTATGTGAGTTGCTGGCTTGGCAGAAAGACACCCGCACATGCTAATGGGACTTTTTTATATATTCTTTTTGGTACCGGGGATCGAACTCAGGCCCTTGTGCTTGTGAGGCAGGCACCGGAACCACTGAGCTAAATCCCCTGGCCCTGATGGGACTTTTGATATACAGGTTCTTCTGACCTCCAGCCTCTGCTCAGGTCTCACGGAAGCCATCACCTGGCACCCATGTCCTACCATCCATAAAGTACCCCAGTGATAGCCCCAGAGGGCTGGGGTGGTTTTTGGCTTGGAGGTCAAATGGCCACAGGCCCTTGTTCTTACACTGTCCTGCACATCCACCCCGCAGCCTTGGGTTACCTGTGAATGATGCCCTTGCCATGCAGGTACTCAAGAGCAGAAACGATCTCAGCTGTATAAAATCGGGTACAGGTCTCATCAAATGAACCAATTTTGCGGATGTATTTAAGTAATTCTCCATTTTTGGCATAGCTAAGGCCAAAGTCTGAATATAGTATAGTTAAGGAAGAATGGGAAAAGTCTTTTTAAAGAACTAATCTTAACAGCTCAGGAAGAACCCATCATCACCAACTCTAGTACTGAGGATCAAACCAAGGAGAGCTCTATTACTGAGCTATACTCCCAGCTCTTCTTAAGAGAGGGTCTCGCTAAGTTGCTCAGGCTGGTCTCAAACTTATGATCCTTCCTGCCTCAGCCTCTAAAGTATATGAGACCTGGGGATGTGACACCATGTACAACAGAACTTTTTTTTTTTTTTTTTTGGTACTGGGGATCGAACTCAGGTCCTTGCGCTTGTGAGGCAGGCGGCGAAACTACTGAGCTAAATCCCTGGCACTAGAACTTTTTATTAAATGTGTACTAAAAGTACCTATGGCCCAAGACAGTCACCTTTTTTTAAGTCAGATTCAGCTCTGGCTTCCAGATCAGACATTAGTGTTTCTTACTAATAACATAGTATCACCATCCCTTTCAGCCTGGACTATATTTCTAGACACATGGTCCCCAGGGCCCTCTGTCACCTTCTCACAGGTGAGAAGGAACCTGTGAGAAGGAATTGCCAGAAGTGACTATTGGGTCTGCAGACTCCGGCCAAGGCACAGACAACATGTGTGAGACTTCAAGTGCAAAGAAGAGATGTGGAAGAGAGATTTTAACTATAAACCTTGCTTGAGCTTGGAGCCCTCCACAAACTGCTGACATCCATGCATGTGGCTGCTCCTCCCATTGCACAGAGAAGAGCCATTTTATTAACTTCTTTATTCATCTGATCTATCTGTGAGGTGCCCAGGGGAGAGACAGGAGGGACAGCCACCTTCCCTGTGAACCTCATCATGCAACGTGTTCCATTTGTAGTCTCCTCCTTCTGATGGGACTGAAAGCTGATGAGAAACAGATCCCATATAACTGTTTCCCCTGAAAGCACCAAACACTTGTGCCTCCTTTTTGTTTGGCTTTGTTTTTTTGTTTGTTTCTTTGTTTGTTTGTTTGCAACAGGATCTCACTTCAGGCTGGCCTTGAACTCACTGTGTAGCCCAGGCTGGCCTTGAACATGCAGCAATCTTCCTATCTCAGCCTCTCAAGTGCTAGGATTACAGGCGTGTCCCACCAAGTCTGGCTCATTGTGCCTATCTTACTGGAAATTCCCAGGTATCTCACCTCCCTGGAATCCCAAGATACAACCCTGAGAAGCAGCTCTGGAGGCCTCAAAAGGTGTTTGTGTACAAGGTTCCTAGCTGGCCTTCTATCTGCCAAGGCACTGTCATCTTCCAAGGAAAGAGTATGAGACTCCAAGGCTCTAAGACAAAACCAATAGGGAAGGGACCACAGTCAAAGCTACCCAAAGCTACCCCTGTCCAGGGTATCTCTAACTAACACACTTCCTAATTTGGACAATGCTTCACAGAAACCTGAAATTAAAAGCCCCCTTTACTTTGAGGAATGCAGAGAGTCTTAGCCAGGTGCCACTCACACGTCATCTCATCTTACCCACTCCCTCACAAAAAAAAAGGCTATTCCCATGGAGCTACTAGCCACTAGCAAGACACAGGGCCTTGCCTGTTAGGACCCCGGGTACAAGGCTCAGATTTGGTCACAGTGTGTCACAGGAGGTAGCAGCTTCTTGCCTCTTCTGGCTTTGTGATTTCACCCTTTTATTTGATCTCTCAATTGTTCTTGAGTCCTGCATAGTACATCTCTGCTCAGCAGTAGGGCAGAGGTGATTGACAGGTCTTGAACATAGTGGGTATCCAGCATTACTGCTCTGTCACATACCTGCTTCATGGAAGTGTGCTCCTTTAGAACTTGTCAGTCCACTGCATAACCTGAGAATCTTTTCTACCCGCTTGCCCACAAGCCTGTGCTTCAGAACAGTAAGGAGAAGGTAGCAGCTGTCCTGCCTTGCAAATATCAAGCCTGTGAACAGAGCCAAGAAGCCTGACAAGCCCAATGTCTGCAATTTGTAGAAGAGGCACGCAGCACAGAGATTAGGCATCTGACTCAAGGTCACAAAACAGAGGGACAGGACCTGAGTCTAGCCCTCAAGCAGTATTTTTAACTTCAAGCTGCACACAGGGTATCATGAAGCCAAGCAGGTACAGATCAGCCTTGATAGGTGCTGGAGGCAGAAGGCTAGCCAAAGAGCAACAGCATCTGAACCCTCTTTGCCTTTCTTCCCCACTGGAAATTACAGCTAAATGGATGGTATCCTATTTAGGCAAAGAATTTCATTTGCTTTTCTTTCTCAACATTAATACATAGAGGGGTCAGGGATTTAGCTCAGTGGCGCCACACCTGCCTCACAAGTGCAAGGTCCTAAATTAGATCCCTGGTACCACACACAAAAAAAATAATAATAACCTTGTCTCAAAACTTAATAAAGTTTAGAAAGAGGATGAAACACAAGCAAAAAGCCTTGGGTTCAACTCCAAGTAACACACGCATGTACACATGCACACATATACAGTGGGAGCAGGGGGCTAGGGGTGCTACTCAGTAGTAGGGCACATACTTAGCACGTACAAAGCCCTTGGTTCCAACATTGCAAAAAGTAAAAGCTTTAAAAAAACAGCAGGTAGAGAGACACATGCCTGTAATCCCAGCGCTGAGGGAAGACCAGGCAAAACTGTGCGTTCAAGCCCACCTGGGGAATTTAGCGAGACTGTCTTAAAATTAAAAATAAATTAAAGGCTGGGAATGTACCTGAGTGGTAGAGTAGCCTGGAGTTTGAATCAGCACGAAGCAGCAGGTGGCAAACAAGCCTTCAGATATGTGGACAAGCTTTGAGGGCAATGAAAAGAGGGAAGGGAGAAAGCTCCCCTGAAAGGAAGAGCAGCCACTGAGAACAAAGCCTGCCCATCTGTCTGGCCCAGAGGTGAGCTGGTGTCCCCAAAGGTGTGGCCTGCCTATTGTCCTCAGGCCTGACTCCCTGATTCCTAAGCAATGGTTCAAGAGAAGACTGTTTTCCCACAGGTCAGAGGAATCAGAGCTATGGACAAAATGAAGACAGCAGAAGGCAAACCTACTGGAGAAACAGTTGATAAGTTACTGGAAAGCAACATCTGCTAAACAACCCCACAGCAGGACAGCACCCAGTGTAAAGGAAGGTTCAGGCTCTAAAGGGCTTACTCCTGATTTCTCAAATGTCCAGGGAGATGTCCCTTCTAACCACACCCTATACCAAGACTCAAAGAGGGCAGAGAGGAGCCCACTGTAGGAGTCTGAGAATGCCCAAGATTCTTTCTCTACTGGTCCCTGGTTCATTTGAGCACAGGATTCAATACCTAGCAGATACTCCAAAGACGATGGTTAGAGAAATGAAGAAATGCCTTTACATGAATGTTCAGTAACCAGAGTTAAAATAACAACAGGTCATTAGGTTTGGTGTTTATCAATAAAAACCTCAAAACTGTGGTACAGTTTCTCCTTCAGATAAGGACACAACAATCAGCTTAACCTTAGCCAATCTCTGGTACTGTCTGTTGCCTCTAGGAATGCCAGTCACTCAGAAGTCAAGGGCAGCAGGGTAGCATCTACACCATATCCTTTCCTTCCAGGGGAAGAGATTACTTGTGAGAACAAACAACAGGGTGTCACGATTCCAAAACAAGAGGTTGGGTTGGGCTAGGGATTTAGCTCAGTGGTTCTGCCGCCTGCCTTGCACATGCAACGTCCGGAGTTTGATCCCTGGTACCA